CGGGGGGGGCGGGGGGGTTCTTCACCCGTCCGCCACAACTGCCCCAAAAAAAAAAAAAATCACAAATTTCCAACAGTCAATGCTCGTCCTAGTGCAAGAGAAAACTCACGGGTCAGGCCAGCATCGGTCAGGAAATCGGTGAAACCCATTGTGATTGATGTGAAGATGGACGATGTGAAGGGGAAGGAGTTGTCGGGTTTGACGTGGTTGGGTGGGAAATCGTTTGGATGTACGGGGGAGAGTGTGAAGCTTCGAAGAGGGGGAATGTTGTTTTACGGATCCGTTTAGGTTAGAGCACTTGGAGGGGCAATCACCTTTTTTTTTTCGCTCCTCCCGCCTGGCACCAGAGCAAACCTCCTCAAACGTGGCCCAAGTGGATTGCGCATGTGGATGAGAACATGTTGGCTGAAGACCCCGCCCAGTGCTTTCAGCCTGAGGCATCCATCTGTTTCATGATTTCTGTAGTGGCACTTAATACAGGGAACTCCGTACTGCGCGGTCTGTTTCATTTCCACGATTGGCAGCAATGTCACTCACTCATATCAAACCAATAATAAAAAGCATCTTAGCACATTTTAAAATATCAAATATCGAAAGCCGCGTAATTTCGTAGGCATCTTCAACTTCTGGTGTTGTGATGTCGTTTTTTTTTTCGTGCTCATCGCCTCGTACTACCTGCTCAGCGGTGAAGTTGAGTGCCAAAAACAAAAGCGCCTCGCGCATCACGGGCATGCATCTAAAATCGAGTGAGGCAAGCAACCATGAGGGAAAGTCCTTCCAAATCCAGGCACCCCTTACACAATTGGTCTTCAATACCTTTACCCTTCTATTGATATGCAGGCCATTGCTGTTACACGTGCATAATGACGTTGTTCGTTCTGCTTTGAGCTATGGACTTATTATTGTCAAAAGACGAAATTCGGGGAACAGCAAACAAGTGGTCATTGGTACAAGTCGAAGGGAAAACATTTCATTCTCAGTCAGTTGCCTTGACACGCATAAAAGGCAACATGATCCTCGATTAGCTAAAGCAACATCAATGTATGCAACTATTGAACGTTGTCTTGAAGTCGTTTTAATTTTTCTTTCTCATCAAAACTATTCTTTGATTCTATCCAAAGCGTTCCCATATAGAGGGTCAAACACAAACATTCCTTTTGCTTCCATGCTAAAGCGACGCCCGACAATAGCCATAGGACTAACATGCCTACATGTTCAACAGAAACTTGGCCCCAGGTTCGCTGCACACATAGATGACATCGTGAGAGTTGGAGAATCCATTGAACTGAGTAGCCGAGCACTTGGTGTACGCACCCATATCCTCAAAGTACAGCCAGTCACCGACGTTGAGGATAGTCTCGAAACGAATACTCTCACTAATGCGATCAATACCATCGCAAGTGGGACCCCAGACCGAGTATTCGACTCCCTCGCCAGCGTTGCAGGCGTTAGCAGACGCCGTGTTGTAGAGTGTGCGTCCGTCCGACCGGAGGATCTTAGCTACCGGGTGCTGGTGATCAAACATGATGCTAGAGAAGTTGCCATAAACACCATCGTTGATGTAGACCATGTACCCCTTGCCATCAAGAGTAGGGTCCTCAACAGTACGGCGAGCAATGATGTTGCAGGCAATGGTGAACGCTGTGGAGACATAATAACGGCCGGGCTCAGCAATGATGTCGATACCATTACCGGCAGGGAAAAACTCGTCCAAGGCATCGCGAAGAACACCCGACATCTGCTCAAAAGTATCTCCACAGAACCCACCACCCACGTCAAGGGTGCGCATGGCAAAGCCAAACTCAGCAGCTTGCTGGAACACGGTGTGGGCATCTCGAACGGCCTTGCAGAAGGCAAGGGGGTCTGAGGCACCAGATCCGACGTGGAAGCTGACACCGACCACGTTAAGTCCTAGGTTCTTAGCGACAGCCAGCAGGCCCTCGGTGGTATCCATGGCGGCACCAAACTTCATGCTGAGGCGGCAAAGGCTAGAGGCATCGTCGGTCATGATGCGCAGGAACAGCTCGGCTTCGGGGTAGAGCTTCGCAATCTTGTACAGTTCGTCGGCGTTGTCGAATGTCATCTGCTTGACCCCTGCATTCTTAACGAAGCGAACGTACGAGTTCGTCTTGCATGGCTGAGCATAGATGATGCGCTCGGGAGTGGTTCCCATAGCTAGCACCTGCTCAATCTCCCCTTTGGAGGCACAGTCAAACCCGGTGCCCAGTTCAGCCAAAAGGCGGAGCACCTTGGGGTCCGGGTTGCACTTGACGGCTAAGATATGTTAGCAACGAGATATGCCTGCAAGTAGTCACGTAGGATGAAGGGATACAACTCACCATAGAACGGTTTGATTCGAGGCAAGTTCTTCTTCCATCGGAGGTGCTGCCGATAGACCTCGCCGAGGTCGGCGACAAAGAAAGTATCCTCATCGCCAGGCTCGCACAGCTCATGGTCAACAGACTCCGCACGGTTGTGAAGGGCCTCGCCAATTAGCTGCTTTGGGTCAATTAAAACATTGTTATGAAGATAGTCCGCCAAAAGCGGCTTTTTCATTGACATATGATTATGTGTAACATTTTGATGGTTGTCAAGGATAGCCGTTGCCATAACCATATCCCTAGATGTGGTCCCAGGGGGAAGTTATCCGAGAATGTTGTTTGTCGCCGGGGAATATATGTACCTCGTCTAACTATCCGTGGACTGGAGTTGACGAGTTGTTTGGGACAGACAACAAGTGCTCAAAGAACCTCAAGGGAGAAAGCCGTCAAAAGGATTGACGGGGTTGCCTGGGATATATAGCTGATAGAGAATAGACTCAAACTCACTAAGTGAGCTAGGGTGGTATTAAGGGGGTCGGAACGGATGGCAAACTGTTCCTTCAGTGGATTGGCGAGGCCTCCTCGACTCTTCCTCGGTAAGAGGAAGAACCTCAGGGATCCTCCTATGCGGCAGCTGGTACGATTCTGAAGTCGAGATGGGGGGCTGGAACACCGGTTCGCCGAACAACAGGAAAGCCTCGAGAAGCTTAGGGGCTTTCAGCACAGGTGTAGGGAGGAGGGATAGCGTTGATGATGTGGGCAGTCTTTCGAAGACTAAAATCTTGGTCACTGACAAACGTAACGGCCTGGGGAGCCGTGGCGAAGGCGGTTGCCTTTGAAGAGACCAAAGGCAAGTCGAGGGGTGCTGTGGTGGGCCGGGGTAAGCTCTATAGTGAAAATAAATGTCAGTACTGGCTTTCTCCATGAAATGGTAGCCGGCAGCAGCGTATGATGGCGTGCTATAACAGCATGTTGCGCGTCCCTGAACCCGACAGATGGGACAAAGGTACACGAGTGTAGACAGCAGCAGGCAGGTGTAAGTGTGTAGAAGGAACCATCAGCCCTCCCAAACGGACAAACAAATAAAAACAGTGCACCCAACGCCCAGCTCACTTGAGCGAACAGCAACACTGCCACTCGATCGCACTCGTGTACGCCGTAAGTCGTGGCCACTTTGACGGATGGCCGATGAGCGGGTTTGCCCCTCGGGAGAGAGGTGCCGTGGCACGGCCAATTTGGCGTGATAGTACGGACTGACTGCGACACTGGAGAAGCGGCCAGCAGCCAAAGCTAGACTAACCTGAGATCAAAGAGTCCGAAGCGGTTGCAATGCCAATTGACGATCAAAAGCGGGCAGTTGAGAAGAGGGCCTCACTGTGGGAGATGCGGTTGGGCGGTCTGTGGAATTGTTGATGCCGGAGACAAAAATAAAACTGAGCGTCTTGTGTTGTGTGCGCGCAAGATTTTGTGACGGAGGGGCGTCAGCCAGGTTTTATTCTGGTGCAGCCACTTGCGCATGCGCAGGTCGCTTCTTACTGCAGCGCCTGGTGCGCCCAGCCCGAGTCAATCAGCGGTCCCAGGTGCCAGCACATGGGCCTCTCGAGTTGCTGTCTGCGGGAGCCGGCAAAGGCTCCAGTGCTAGTCTCCAGTGTCCTTTGCATTTTCGTCAACATCGGGAACATACTTCTGGTGGCGCAGCCCCACCCTGACTGCCAAAATTTTCGCTCGTCCCAGGCCTCTTCGCTCACCCTCTTTTCTCGACTTTGGTCCCAGTTTTCGCCTCCACAGTCGTCTGGTGCTGGCTGTCCTTGCCCAGCCGTTCTGCAACTCCCAACTCCTGGCCAGCAGCGTCATTTGTCGCCATGCCATTGCCATTGACAAATGAGCTTGCGAGTTGCTGTTCTACACACCCACCGACAGGCCATCCGGCCACCATTTCCAGTCCCAGTCCGCCTCCCCCTGCAGCAAGATGAACCTCGATGCTCAGCCAGTCCTCCCTTTCTGTCAGTTGAAGCTGTATCCAATTAGTACTCAAACGTATGCAAAGGAAAATGGAACTACCAACCACACACATACACGCGCAGGAGACAAATCCTAAAATGATGCGGCAACCAACAACTTCCCTTCCTAGGACACGACATCAACACCTCACCTCTGTCCGTACCTCCGCCTAAACGATCCTAGAAACCCCAGGCAGACACCACAGTTACCATGTTCTGCATCCCGGTGCTATTGATTGGACGATCCACTCTTGGGCACAAATAGGCACGCAGGTACTCCGTTAGGCCATGTCAATATGATGGCTGCCCTGCCTAGACTCCCTCCCGCCTCGCTCCTCTGTGCTGAAAGGCTCAACCTCAGCTAGCAGTAGTAGCCTTGAGTTTCCTGTGATATGAGTTCGTTGCTGCACTCCCAGGCATTCTTGGTAAAGTTCCGATTCGCGTTTAACCATTGTTGCATGCAGGCTACATCGTGCTGTCCGGGCCAAAACTAAAATTGAGGAAACCGGCTATGCGTGCCGGACGCTTGGGCGCATCAACAACACAAAACAAAGTCCATGAGGGACTTTTTTCGTCCCTATTTCGTGGTGCGGGTGGCTGAATCCTCTTGTCATCTTCCTCCGTCCATGGACTGACAACAACAGCAATGGGACATTGGCTGGTAACTTCAAGTTTTAAGCGAGACGGCACCTTCTAATCCATTGAGCTTACGCGTCTGCATCCGTGCGAACCAAGCATACCAATACAATGTTGTATCACTCACACCAGCTTACACTACGTGGTGCCGTTTTTCCATGAAGGCGTGTTGTTCTGAGGCTATAGCGTGAGATTGAAACTGGAGTCATGTTTTCACGGACATGTTAGAGTGACATTGCCCTTTTAATAGGTCCAAAATCTGTGCACCACATGTCCGGGTTGATGAGGTCCACCTAGTCCACATAGCATTACCAGACAGTTCAAGCCTCCAATGTTGCGCTATACATAGCAGCTCTCTAATACCTCTCGCCGTCCGTACTCGGTAGTGGAAGCATGGCCGCCATTACTCACACAATCTCGGGACTCAGCTGAATGATCACCATTGGTTTCAAATCATCTCACGCGACGGCAGTGTTTCATTGCTCGGCCCCATTGCTCGGCCCCTTAGCCTCATTTTGAGTCCTTATTTCCGGGTGCCGAGCGTGTCTGCAGGCAGTTGCCCGATAACTACCTCCTGCAGCCTCGCGTTTAGAAGCTGAGCCGGTAGTCTCATCTGGTGGTATCTAGTGGTGCTGAACTTACACATCGATTGCATGTAGGAGCTGGTCGACACCAAAACAACTCACGCCCCATATGTACTCAGCTCTTTAGTCCGGTAACCCAAGGCTCAAGGGCTCCGGCTCTGATAGAACGAGACAAACCCATTTCAAATCCCCCGTTCTCCCACTCTCCGAATCACCAATCCCCTTCCCGAACAAGACACCTGATGCCCGCAGGCGCCGCGGTCATCTCGTTCTGAGAGTAAATGGAACGGCAGATCCTTCAAACGTGAGCACGTATGAATTATGAAACAGTACGTCATTTTATTCTTGCGTTGCTCTGTGGTCCATCTGTCATTGTGAAAGATGTCCTTTCGGCAGATGGATGTATCGTATCTGAACGCGTGGATGTCAACAAGTCAATGTCGGTCAACGTAGCCCGTAAGAGCAAACAAAGTTCCGTTGGAGTATATGACATATTTGGAGATCGTCTATCTATCGTCTTGTCTTGTCCACATGCGTGTATGTATATGAGGGATAAAATCGTACACTTTTGTCGTGATATTATAGCGATGGCGTGCTTACCCAATCGCTGTATTGTCAAGTCAGCGAATCGTAGCATCGGGCAGTGCTTCCATAATCATCAATGCAGATGTTCAATGCATGCTTGTGCCCTGAAACAGCCTCATTTCGGCTTGGAACTTTCGTGTTGCGAAATCATTCGCCAACGGCGACATTCATCTCCTGCGTCGTCCACGAATCATCCACCCATGACTGACGCTCGCCGAGGAAAGTCGTACGCTCCTCACCCCTTTCTATTGCGTCTACGAGATATTTCTGCGCAGCTTCCTTGACCTGGTCCTTTGACACATCCAGGAGTTGATACCTCTTCTTCTGTCTCATCTCCTCAGTGATGCCGGAGAGGAATTTTCCCATGCCCTCTTGGTTGACAGCCTTGGGGGCATCGACGGCCTGGAAGACTGAAATCTTGGCCTCCTCCAGATCACGATCCGACCATTCTTTATTGACGGCCCACCTGCCCGCATTTCGCATAATGCTCATGGTATTTTGGGGATTAGGGTCACGGTAAGAGTAGAAGCCAAACAGACCATCCAGCGGCTTGTACATGGCTCCACCACCGTAGGCTCCGCCCTTCTCGCGAATCTCGTGATGCAGGTACTTGTGGGTGAGGAGTTGTGAGAGTATTTGAAGTGGCGCGCCATCAGACGCCGTGTAGGACACTGTCGGTACAGACAATCCTCCATAATATACTTGATAAGGTAGGGGGAAGAAAGTCTTGCGGTCAGTAGGAAGTCTCCGCGGCTCCGGGTTCTTAAAATCCGAAACCCCTTGAGGGAGAGCCTTCATAAAGGACTGCAGGGAGTTAGAGTTTCGAGTTACGCTCTCAGTACCGCAGGTGATTGCGGTTCGCATGTTGTCGCTAGAGAGGGCAAACTTTTGGATTTGCTTCAATTTGCTGATGACGTCTTCAAACTGGTCAGACTCTGGGCGCCCGGCTAGCCGAGTTACTAGTTTAACCTGAGAAAGACCGGCGACTTGTTGGCGTAGCCATGCGCTTCGTGTAATGCTTGATTCAGCATAGCCCACGGCAAAGCGGTGGCCCGACGAGGCAATATCGTTAACAATGCCATCCGCGGAGGCTTGGAGCAGCTGTCTAATACGGAGGGCTGCCTCAGGAGTATCAAAATTCGTCTCTAGGACTAGCTTGTGGAGAATATCAAACATGATGGGGACATTCCGATCCAAGGCCATTCCAGTAAAAATGATGCCTTCGCTAGATGCACTGTAGTCGGTGGGTGACGGAGTAGAATGGTAGCCGACAGAGACTCCGCCAGTGGTCAGCTTGATCAGGTCCTCGAGCTGCTCCATGGTCGTATCCTTGGTTCCAAGGCGCATAATGCTATCCGTGAAGAGAGGAACAAGTTCTCGAAGATCGTCAGGTAAGTTTTCCAAGGTATTGATGCCACGGAAATAGGTTAATCCATTCGTGGGTGCCTCATGCCATTGAATGGCTGTGCCATTTTGAACCTCGTCGCGCACAACCACTGGCTCTTTCGTTCTTGGAATATCTTTCACGTGGACGGTCGGCAGACAGCTGAGATCTTCCGTATTGGCCTTATTTTGCTCGACAAGAAGCTCCTGTTCTTGCTGCTCGAACTTCTGTCGAGCCTTCTCCTCGCCCCCAGCGATCTGAATAGCATCATCAATCCTGGAAGAAAGGCGCTGTTGTTCTTCCCTTGCAAGATCCTCTCCAAAGGTAATAGAGGGTGCCATTGTGAATATCATGGTATTGTCGTTAAGTAAGTACCTGTCAATTAGACCCTCGAGATAACCGCCTTTGGCCAACTTCGCCTGGAATTTTGAGATGGTGTCGTCCCAGGCGAGAGAGTCAAACGGGTCAGTTCCATTGAACCACTTCGGCTTAAGTCTATTGAGCATAGAGAACCCAAAGTTGGCAGTCTTGTGCTTCAGGGACAACTCCAATTGGTGCAAAGCCCCATCAATCTTGGTTTTCTCGAAGCCATTGTCACGCGCCTGCTTCAATATTCCTTGAACTGTTTCCTTCAGCTTGGGAACATCGGATTCTTGAACTCCAGTCAGGCCAATGGAAAAAATTCCTCGCTTGGCAGAGCTATCATATCCTGCATTCGGGCTCCAGTCAGCTCCCATACCAGTCTCGATTAGGCCGCGATAGAGAGGCGAGCCATAGCCATCCATCAAAAGGGTGGAGAGCAATGCAATCGAGAAAGACTCGACAACATCAGTAGTATCTCCAGTGATCCATGACACTGAAGTCTTGTACTGACGATCGGGGTCGACAAGAGGATCCATAGGGCCCCTGAGCGTAACTTCGTAAGGGCCATTAAGCTCTATCGGCTGGTGAATTTCTCCGTCGATATTTTTCTTTTCAAACACCTGCAATCTAGCATCTAGCTCTTTCAAATGGTCAACCAAGGGCATGTCACCGTAGGTAAACAGCTTGGAGTTGCTAGGGTGGTAGTGATTAGCGTGGAAATTTTTGAGCTGGTCGTAAGTCAGGTCGGTAATCTTTACAGGGTCGCCACCTGAGTTGTTGATGGCCGGGAAAATGTGATCCTGGAAACGAATATAGTAGAGATACCCAGCATCCGACATTTGACCCTTCATCTCATTGTACACCACACCCTTGAACACCAGCTTCTTGCTCTCGGCAGTCTCTCCAAGAGGGTTCTCGGGTCCAATCCTCCATCCTTCTTGGGTAAAATCAGACTGTTTCAGCAGTGGATGCAAGGTAGAATCCAAATATACAGACATGAGATTCTTGAAGTCCTGCGGATTTGTGGTCGCAAACGGGTAAAAAGTGTGGTCGGAGGCTGTAAAGGCGTTCATGAAGTTGGAAAGGGTCCGGGGTAGCATCTTGAAAAAGGGATCGCGAATGGGATACTTTTTGCTGCCACATAGAGTCGTATGCTCGAGAATATGCGGAACACCGGTGTCGTCGGGGGGGTTCGTCTTAAAGCCGATGGAGAAAACATTGTTGCTGTCTTCTCGAGCAATGTGTAGGTAGTCGGCACCAGTCTTCTCGTGTTGCAGATGCAATGCTGTCAGTTCTAACTCAGGGACATGTTTGGAGCGCACAAGGGTGAAGCCGTGAAGCTTGTCGCCCGGCTTGGGATATTGTGACAGCTCTGTAACAGCTTTGCGAGCTGCGTTGGCAGCATTTCGAAGCATGATGGCCCGAGTCGCCAGTGAGTCTAAACGGAAGCGAATGGTCTTAATAATACAATAGTATACAGAAAGAGGTCGTTCAGAAATTCAAACACACCCGCTGCATCCAGAACAGATCAATCACGGGTGTACCGGAGCAAAGTGTAGGGCATGAAGTGCTTCACTGCTCACCAGCGACACCGGATGTTGGCGAAGATTGGTGGCGGAGGGCGTAATAAAAGTTCAATGTTCCAAGGGATTGCGAGCTTTAGTCATACGCCACATGCAGAAGCCGGTTATTGGACTGTGAGCATGGTGCGCAGAGCCGGGTACTCGACTGGCGACCATTGACGGCTGCAGCGGAACCTTCAGTGGAGCTCAAGACGGATTGCCGGCGAATGATGACCAGACATTTACTGTCAGTCCAGTGCGGTGAAGGCACAGCCTGATAGTGTCATAACGCAGTCCCGCAGGCCCACACGTGTCATGTCCCTAATGCACTAACGCCATTCCCCGATGCCCTTCTCGGCCTCAGTAAAAACTGATTTCAATACGCCCACGCAATCGACTTCGACATCCGTGCGAAGACTGCTCACTTGCCCGCGGTCTGCTCGCTCAACCTATCTCATCTGATTCCTTTCTGCAGCGCAAGTATCTGCATCTGTGAGTGATTAACCCTACTCAAGTATGCTCCAAGCCCGCGTGTTTGTACGGCTTGATTGGGCTGCATGCAGGGGCAGAGCACCTGCTCACATCATATCACCGCAAGAGTTGCTAACCTGGCCATTCAGGTTACCGGCCTCCAGTCCGACCATCGTCACGGTCGTCTCCGAACCAGAACGCACCGATTCTTTCGCCCCATCACATCTTCGCTTACCGGCTTGTCCCACCCGCCGAAATCTCGACATCAACTCTAAGCCGCACCATCCTCTCTCAAACACGGTCTCTATCCCCCATGTTGCGACAATCTTGAAATCTTTTCGCCCCCTTGACCATCTTAGAGGTGTCAGCACATCTCACACGTCATGCCTTCGGGTCAAGTAGAACCAGCATTGACTAACGGTCACGATGGCCATGTTCATTCCGCGCCTATGCCGGGGAAGAAGGGTAAGGGGAAGAAAGCCATCGACTCGTCGGAAGCTTCAAGGCTGCTTCAGGCCCGTATCTCTCAGCTAGAGCAGGATGCCGCTGGAGAAAAAGACCAAGAACTCGAGATCGGTAGGTTCAAGCGAATTCTTGCGCTTCAGGTCTCATGGGCCTTCACCCCAGGCCTTACCATATCCCTCATTGCTAATCAGTGCCCTCCGTCATACAGAACGGGAAGTCAAAAGAGCCAACCGAGACTTAATGCAACAGGTCGCCAAAATGGACGATATGCAGAAAATCGACCACCTGACGAAACGTTCCAGTGAACTCCTGGCTGATATGCGACGCCTTGAGAAGGAGAACCAAAGGAACAAGAAGCGAGGCGATACTCTACAAAAGGAGCGGGATAGCAGTCGAACGGAACTTGGCAAGACAGTTGGATTGAAGGAGAAGCTTGAAAAACTGTGTCGTGAGTTACAGCGGGACAACAACAAGATGAAGGTCAGAACACGGCGAGCCCATTTCGGACAGGGACCAACTGGGGACAATATGCTAACGTAGGGCGTGGAATAGAATGAGAACAAGGAACTCCAGACTACACAGAAGCGGAATAATATTTCCTGGGATGAGAAATTCTCCACTGTTTTATCCAAATTGGAAGGCTACCAGGAAGAGAAAGACACCCCGCGAAAACAGGTGGTGGACATGGAAGTTGATGAACTGTGAGTATCCAACAGGGCTAAGCTTCTAAATCTTTGTAACCTTGGCATTAATCGCATGTCGTTGCAGATTCCGTGTCAGGTTCAAGTCTTTCATTGAACAATACGAACTGCGTGAGCTACATTTCCACTCCCTTATGCGAACAAAGGAACTGGAAGTTCAATATCACCAATCGCGATATGAACGAGAGAAGAAAACCGCGGAAGCCGAGGCGAGCAAAGCGCGCCATCTGCAAGCCCAAGTACAGGCTTTTACCAAGACAGAAACTGAGCTTCGAAATCAGTTGAATGTCTATGTTGAGAAGTTCAAACAGGTGGGAGATTCGTATGTGCCTCTGCCCTTTCCATTGGCTAACAACAGGGCTTCAAGGTTGAGGATACGCTGAACAATAGCAACGATTTGTTCTTGTCGTTTCGAAAGGAAATGGAAGACATGACCAAAAAGAGCAAGCGACTGGAAAAGGAAAATGAAGCACTTAAGAGACAGAAAGATGCAACGGCCGCTAACATCATCCGCATGGCTGAAGAACGTCAAGGGTGGAAGAAGCAAGTGGACTCTGCCGAGAAAAAGGTGAACAAACTCATGAGTATCATACAGCAGATGCAGCACCAGGGACGAAAGGGTCCGCCAGGACTAGCCAGCGTCATGGAAAACGTGTATTCAGACAACCAAGGGGGTGCTGAGGGCGACGACGAGAGCGATTATTCAAATGAAGGCGAAGGTGAGGAACTGAGCGAGTTCGACGACGATACTGAGGAGGAGCCTCAGCCTGTGCAGAAACAGCCCGCGCCAGTACCGTACGGACCAGAACGACCACCAGCACCCACTCAGCAGCAAGCAACTGCAGCTACCAACGGACATTAGGATGGCTTGTTGGAGATGCTGCGAGCGTCATTGGCCGGCAATCCACAGCTTGCTGCCATGCCGACGAGCGAGCCTCTACGTTGTGTCTTAACGCAATCAAACCGCGCCAAGGACAGCCCGGAAGCTCTCAGAGTTGCATTAGCGTTGCCAGTCAAGCTGTCGTCAGAGGTACCAAAAGTGGACGTTACGCTGATGCCGCTGCGAGAGTATAAGGCCGTCTTTCGTGCGAGTTAGAAAAGGCACAAGGGGACGCTGTAGGCTATTATTATGTCGTGCTTGGATTTTGGGTTGACAGTACGGATTATTGTATCATTGTATGTTTACGTAAAAGAAAGGGGCGGCAGATGAGCTCATTCCACTTCGAATTCATGCCCGCCCATGATGTAGTCAGCTTGCTGCATCGTTCGCCGACATGGCAGTGTCTGAAGACGTCCCCAGCGTATCAGGCCTTCTCAGCGTATTAATGGGACAAATTAGCGCATTTCATCTATACGACGCTGAAGTGCATGAGTAAACTGTCTTGCATAATTTGCTCAATAATACTATACGCAGCAATGGTCTCACATTATTTGCCGGGCAAATATAATAACGTCCTGGGACTCCTGGCTCCTCCGTGCATGCCCACCCAAACGCACCGTAGCCTAAAATTGAATGGATCAAATCGATAAGACAGGACACAGTTGTCAGATCCAGCTCAGCTCTCCGCTTCCTGACCACACGCCACCCATCGCGCGCTTGCTCTCTCTTTCGCCCTCTCTCCCCTTCCCTCATACCATCAATCCAATCTGGATCGTCGGAGCTACCGCAATTTTTTTTTTTTTGTAGCTGTCGTCGCCAAAATGGATTTTCTCCAGGTAGGTTCACCAATTGATGCCGTCACTGAATGCACCAGACTCAATCAAACCATATCGCATCTCACTCCCAATCTTTCGCCGACATCACGTCATCGTGAACACGACTCGCTAACATAACAATCCAACACAGCGCCTCGCGCGGTACCTCGATCGCCCTCTCTTTCCCTGGAAGAAGCTCATCCTCGGCTTTTCCGTCGGTCAATACCTCTTTGAATCCTTCCTCACCCTCCGCCAATATCGCATTCTCCAACAAACCAAACCCCCCGCCGTACTCTGCAAGGAAATCTCGCAAGAAACTTTTGACAAGTCTCAGGCCTACGGTCGCGCCAAAGCTCAATTCGAAATCATCTCCGGCCTCTGGGCGCAGATCCAAAACGTTGCATTTATTCAACTCGATGTTCTCCCAAAGTTGTGGTCCTGGACGGGCAATGTACTCCTCAAATGGGCTCCCTCCCGATTCACCGGCGAAATTAGCCACTCCATCCTCTTTGTTCTCACCTTCGTCGTCATCCAACAGTTCCTTTCACTCCCCACGCGCGTGTACAGCACTTTTGTTCTGGAGGAGAAGTTTGGTTTCAACAAGCAGACGCCAAAACTGTTCATTACTGACATGATTAAGACGAATCTATTGACGGTTGCGCTCGTGCCCCCTATTCTGGCCGCCTTTTTGAAGATTATCCAGAAGACGGGTAACCAGTTTGTGTTTTATCTTTGGGTCTTTTCTGCTGGCTTGCAGCTGTTTACCACGACTGCGTACCCGATCTTTATTCAGCCCCTATTTAACAAACTGTCTCCTCTCGAGGAAGGCGAACTTAAGACTAAGGTTGAGGGGCTGGCTGTTGCTCACAATTTCCCCCTACAAGAGCTCTTTGTTATTGATGGAAGCAAACGAAGCGCGCACTCGAATGCATATTTCTACGGTTTGCCTTGGAAGAAGCACATTGTCATTTACGACACCTTGATTGAAAAGACGAAGACCGATGAAATTATTGCCATTCTTGCCCACGAACTCGGTCACTGGAAGCTCGGTCACACCACGCGTCTCTTTGGCATCGCTCAGGTAGGCATCCATCCTTCGTCCTCATCACACACAATTCAATCCACTGAACGTAAACCCAGGCCCATCTCCTCTATGTCTTCTCTCTGTTCTCTGTTTTCATCAACAACGGGTCCCTCTACAACGCGTTCGGTTTCCACACCACTCACCCCATCATTATCGGATTCATTCTCTTCAGCGACGCCCTCTCCCCAATGGACACCGTCATCAAGTTACTTCTCAACATCCTCTCTCGCAAATTCGAATTCGAGGCAGACGACTTCGCAAAGGGTCTGGGCTTCCGCTCGCAGCTGGCCTCTTCTCTAATTAAGCTGCACGCTCAGAACCTGAGCACCATGGACGCCGACTGGATGTATGCCAGCTATCACTTCTCGCATCCCCATCTGTCCGAGCGTCTCAAGGCCCTTGATTGGAAGCCAAAGGACTCGCTCACGAGTGAAAAGGACAAGGAGGGTATTGCGACGGCTACTGGACGTGACGAGCTGTGAGGCCAAAGGACTTCAATGAGAACGAATAGAGGATATCTTATGCAGCGGAATTTTAGATAGATGGGGCATCTATAATTGCTGAAGTCTGTGGACTAGGGATAGAATTGAATGCGTGTGTACAGTAGAAGAGTTGGTCGGAAGAAAATACATTTAGTCTCTTTGCTATCTAGGTATCTTGCGAAACCTTGGCATGACGTCCCAAGGGCTCTATTGCCGCACATTGTAAGTCTAGCCTAAGTACAATGTCTATGCCCAATTCGTGAGAACCGTACCACTCTAATCTTCGTCCGGTTCGTCCGATTCGTCATATGAACCTTCCGAGCCTCCGTCTTCTTCTTCCTCTTCTTCGTCTTCCTCTTCTTCTTCTTCACCAGCTTTTAGGCCATAATCGTCATGAAAATAGCTCAATTCATGGGTCTGCACCTTGTATCCCATACCTTTAAAGGCGGTTTCCATATTCTACCACCTCGTTAGCCCATAAACTACCGCCTTGTGTTCTATTCCGTCGCATGCACATACCTTGGACATTAACTTGGCGCAAGTAACCACTACATTGCTCTTCCCCGGTTCAAAACAAGGCAAAATAAACTCTTGCATGACACTCTTCATCTCGTTGATGGTGACATCCCGCACCTGTCGGAGCACGTCTTTGCTCCAGTCCTTGGGAAGGCCACGTACGACGCTACGTACAAAATTTTGTTGAGCAGCACTCGGCATGGTGGCTTGCTCGTCAGCGAACATAACGACGATTTGGCTAATGGTTCCTTCGAGGAGGTGCTTGTCGATGGGCACTTCGCCGACGGCAATCTTGTGGATGGCATCGCGGGATGCGGAGATGGCTTTGTATGCGTCTGGGGAGCGATACACACGATAGGACAGGAGTCCCGAGTCGACGTTGCGTGAGAAGTAGGAGCCGTAGGCGTACCCGGCTCCACGGACGGCACTCCAGAGAGGTCCTTCTACAGTCTCGAGGTAGCCGATTGCTACCATGATGGCAGGGAACTTGGGATCCGAGAGGGATGTGATGCTTGGTGCGGTGCTTACAGAGTACGAGCTATCAAGTGTAGTCATGGGCACAATAATGGCGCCGACGGAACCTGGTTTGCGACCTTCGTCATTGAGGAGGTTTACAAACTTGGGAATGGGAACCATGTCTTCTTGGGTTGTCAAACTTTCTGCGAGTGTGTTCCAGGTGGTGAGGGGATTTTGAAGCTTGGACACATTTGCGGTGACGAGGAGGCGCATGTTTTGGAAGGTGAAAAGCGACTTGCGAATGGTGTGGAACCACTCGATGACCTTCTCTGGCTCACTTTTGAGGAGCTTCTTGAGGCGTTTGAGATAGACGGCCTTGACCAGGGTGCGCCTGGCTACGGCTAAGGATGTCTTGTCCATGTGGATGGCGGTATCGATCTCTACAGCCATTCCACGGCCGTCACGCTTAGCTTCAGGAATATCGGCGAGGGCCTTGGTGACGGCAGCCCCAAGACGCTGGGGATCAAAGACGGAGTCAAACATCATAGTTCGCAACCAATGGACTGCCGCAGAGTACTTATCGGGCTCGACCTGGAAACCAATCATGAAACCGTCAGCATCACCAAGCGAGCGAGCAGATCCAATGTTATAGCCGATACTGTCCCGCTCAAGTTCCATGACGACTTGCTCAAAGTCAACTTGCTTGCCATCTCGCAAGATGTGAGTGTTGAAGAAGTTGTCGCTAAATATGGACAATAGTGGTTTCAACTCAAATGGTACTTGCGACGTGCCCAGGTGAATGGTGATGTGAACAAAGTTGGTGGGCACATCCTCGAACTGGATGAAGAGTGGTAGTTTACCATCTGTGGCAGAGTCGATGACCTTCTGTGCCTGGCCGATTCCCAAACCGATTGATTTGGCCCGTCCTGATCGTGCAGTATCAGACTCAATAAAATGGATCGATTCTGTGCCAGGGACACTCCACCGATCAATGACTTCGGCCGGGATGGGCTCGTCATTCTTCTTCTTAGCATCCTCAAGGCGCTTAGCTAACTTTTCTAGTCCCTCTGCTCCGAGCTCTTCTTTTCTCTTGGCGATTCTGGCCTCTTCACCAGCCTTCATTTTCTTGGCTAGTTCATGTGACGGTTTGCCGAGGATAGAAACATGGTGGGCGTTAGCCATCCACTTGCTCAAAAAAGCTCGCCATTGCTCGTCTGTCCACTTCTCCAGAACATCGTACTCACTAAGAGTCCCAAGCTCTTGAAGTGTCGAGCCGTCTCGCTTGCCAAAAAGGTAATCAGTAATGATGTTGGTCGCATAGAACGACTCTGAGGTTTCTGCGTGGAATTTGACTTGGCGCTTCTCCCGCTTGATGCATTCGAGCATGTATTCCATGTCAAGCGGCTTACTGGCAACCTCCTTCAGAAGCTCCATCAGCCGCTTTTCCACAAACTCGAGCTTTTCCGTTGCGACACCTGTTGGCTGGAGCCAAATTACGGAGTTTGGTCGGGCTTCCCACCATTGTGTTATAGAGCTAGCAAGCTCTTCTTTCTCGACTAACACGTTCTCCAGGACGGAAACTGACGAGCCGCACAAGTATGTGAGCAGAATGTTGAGAGCAGAAGTTTCAATTAGATCGACGCAGTTGGGCCCAAAGAACCCAATGAGAATCTCGCCAACCGATTCATCCTCTTCAGGAAATTCGGCGATTGTGACAATGGACTCTTTCAGCGCAGGGGGTTGGGGGGAATCAAGCCAAGGTCTGCGGGCAACAATTGGTCAGTGGTAAGCCATTTTTCCATCTCTTGAGCGTGCTTTCAGGGTACTTGCCTGTCAAATTTGGCGTCCAAAGGCGGAATGTCGTCCTTGATGCTCTCCTCAAACTCATCCAAAATTTGCAACAAGTCGACATGGTCAGTCTCGCCTACGATAACAAGACAAAGATTACGTGGTTGATACATGTCACGGTGGAATTGGCGAATGCGCTCAGGTGTCAGAACACGCAATGCTTCAGTCATTCCACCCGTCTCATAACGAAATCCCACATTTTCCGGGTATAACAGGCGACGGGCCTTGAGGTCCATGATCTCGGGGCTGCGGAATTGGACAGCTTGCATCTCGGAATAAACCACACCAGCATCGTTACCCTGGCCGTCAATATGCCAAACCTCGGTGGTGATTGCTTCATCGGTAATTGTAGGTAGGATGATGTGTTCCAAGTAGATGGGAAGAACCTGTGCAAATCCTTCCCAGCCTGCTGTCTCAAGGGTATAAGCGGTATGGTCTGTTGCGGTCCAAGCATTTGTGCCCGAGTGCGCGCGAGAGGACAGCTTGTCCAAAAGGCCCTTGAACTGGTAGCTCTTGGAGCCCATAAACACCAGGTGTTCCAGAGTATGTGGAGCACCAGAGTCATCGAAAATCTCGGTGGCCAAGGTGAAGTATCCATTGATTTTGGGGCCTTGTCGATCGGCAACGACGACCTGCATGCCGCTTCGCTCCGACACATACTGGGTGATTGTGCATGGAGCATAGTCGATCTTGAAGCTTTGGACCTTGCGGAACAGAGACTGCCGCGTTGTTGAAGGCATGGCGGTGTACTGAGACAGAAACCAACTATTAACAGAGCCTCGGGGTGTCAGTAGATGCTCGGCAAAGTTTGTCTGGTGATGCCTAGGGTAGCTCAGCACTGCAGGCTCTCCCAACTCAAAAGGCATTTGAGCAACCATTGGAGAGTTGACAAAAACTAGAACCGGAACAAGAAGTATTTTCAGGGGAATGAAAGGCCATGACGAGGGACAGTCGGGCTGGGGTCAGGGGCGAGCGAAAAGAAAGCAAGAGAGAAGTCATGACATGGTTGGTTACACTGAGTCAAGGAAGAAACTCTTATGGAGGACGCCGGTTAGGCAACTCACCACTCGACACCCAGAATATAACTAGTGGATGGATATATTGCGAAGAAGGCTCAGCCTTGGAGGCGAGAAGCTGTTTTTGTCACTGGATAATAAATTTATGAAGCCCAATTGCAAGAGTTGGGTTTCGTTTGTGTCTGGAAAAGAGGCTGAACTACCCCGCGGTCACCTTGACGTTTTTGGAGCGGGTAGACACCGGACCAGAGCACTCGACGAACAAGATGGAGGGAGTAGAGCGGACTTCGGTGTTGGAAAAGACGGACGGACCTCGACAATAACCAGCCCAACAGAAAGGAGGGTGTCAATGAGTCGTCAGGTGATGTTTTCAGCCTGCAGATGGCTCAGGAATAACGACTCCCTAGACAATTCAGACACCCCCCATTGTGCTGCAAGCCCAGTCAAAGCGGGCTGTGGGACGGTGGGGTCCAGCTGGCACGGCGCAGACTACCCGGTACCTTCAATTATCTCTCGCGGGCCCAGTCCTCACCTCACCATCGACATGGAGCTTCCATTCCAAGGTTGCCAGCTTGCCTAATCATGCTACACCTGCCGTCGACTGTAACTACATACACATCCACTACCCATCGCATTCGCTTCATGCCGTACCAAAAATCATCACCATCACCATGATACAGTGTTACTAGATCCTTCTATTGCCCCTGCACCCTTCCGACGATTGCTGCTTCTCGGCTCCCGGCCCCTGAGGCAGAGAACATTCGCGACAGGCACAAATACCCTCCATCAGCCATGGCGGCGGAGGCTGAGCCACAACAACTTGGCGATGCCATTGTCGCCTTCTCTCTAGAGCGGGTATTCCCCGAGGATGACACGTCTCTGCTACCCGTATCCGAGATAGATCTCGAGCCTGCTATCCGCGCTCTAACTGGGGCCAAGGCCGACCTCGAAGTGTGCAATGTCCATCGCGCAGACCTCATGTGTACCATCTAACACGCTGGCAGACCGAGATCCATACCATCAACGAGGAGACCAGAGATGATGTCAGTTCATGGGTGCAGAATGCCAAGACGCTGCAGGAAGACATTATTCGATCCAAGACCATCGCCAACGAAATCATACGACAATCCGAGGCACCCGACGTGTCAGGAGAGGCAATTGAGGATGCCGAGGATAAGGTTCAATTTCTCAATCGTGAACTGCAATACAGCCGGCAGCTCCACGAGGTATTGAACAATATCAAAACAGCAAATCAGCTGCTGGGTCAGGTTGACGGTGCAAGGAGTGAACGACGTGTTGTCGACTCCTTGCACCTTCTTGAACGTGCGTCCATTTTCTGCCATGTTTACGTATTGAGTGAAATACTGGTGAATATGATACTAAGATGGTGCAGAATTCTGGACTGCCATCGATCGAATCGGCGTTAGCAAGTCCTGCAGGATTCTCAGACGCCTGGACCGTCGAGCCTTCGAGCTCAAGTCGAGTGTTCATGAAGTATTTAACAATGTTTGGAAAGAATTGATTCAGTTTAATGTGGAGGAGAGAAAGGTATCTATTCGTGAATCCCTACCCGGTACGTAACGACAAGCATACAGTCATCTTTTCGTCATCTTTCTTTGTTTTAACCGAACCACAGAGGGTGGTATGACCCTGTCAGACGCAGTCATTGGTCTGAAAGCATATAAAGAGACGGACGAGCGTATGGAACAACTCTGGCGAAACCTGGACGGATCTCTTATTTCTCCTCGAATGGATAAGACCAAACAACCCGCACCTTCTGTCGCAGCCAAAGGGGACGAACTCGGCCTGACAGGAAGCAGTGATGGATCTGTGGCTGCGTTACTTTCGGATTTAGAGGTGGTCCTGGTTTTCGTTGCGAAAAAAGTGCCAAAAGAGCTACTCGACAGTCTCGTCAACTTCATGATGCCTGATCTGACGCCCCGGTTAATCCAGCAATGGCTCAACCCAGCAGTTCCATCATCGCTGTCCGAGATTCCCAAGTTCCAGAGTATTATTCAAGTCGCCCGAACATTCTGCACCGCTTTAGAGACAAATGGTTATACCGGCTTCGATGAGTTAAGGGAGTGGGTTTCCAAATCGCACATGACGTGGTTAGGAAGATGCCGGGAATCTGCACTGGATAAGATTCGAACCAAGCTCGCTTATGGAATCGGCGAGCCTAAGCAAGTAGAAAAGATCGAGAAACACATGGTCACTGTGGCAGAGGGCAAAGAACTGGCTGCGACTGGCGCAGGTGCGGCAGCGGATACGAATGACTGGGGAGCTGCCTGGGACGATGCATGGAATGATCAGACACAGGAGCCTGAACCACCTACACAGGCTAAAGAAGACGACGGCGCTGACGCGTGGGGCTGGGAGGATGAGGGCGACGCCCAGCAGCCGGCTGAAGAAGCGAAGAAGTCTGAGGGCGAAGACGATTCTGGAGCAGATGCTTGGGGTTGGGGTGATGAGGAAACATCTCTGGAGCCAGAAGTCTCGAAACCCTCATCAAAGAAGCAAAAGACGGAATCCTCACCGGAGGAGACAAGAGAGCTTATTCTCAAGGAGACGTACTATATTTCATGCATGCCCGAACCCGTTATGGGGCTGATAACGGCAGTTCTAGAGGATGGTGCGGCCTTGACGGCGGACGGAAAGAAGTATCAACTAGTTGCGTCTACGGCTCCGGGCCTCTTTAGTTTGCCCACGTTGGCCTTGGCGTTATTCAGAGCCATCTCGCCCTATTACTACTCCCTCAATGTGGGCGGCAATATGTATGGTACACAACATGCCTGTGACTTTGATATTCTACTGACAATCGCAGGTACCTGTATAATGATGCCATGTACATTGCAGAACAGCTTACGAAGTTATCCGAGGCTTGGAAAGAACGAGAGGACCTTACACCACGAGCGCGAAACATGCTACGTCTTGAGAATGACATCAAGACGCTCCAAAATTTCGCAAACAGGAGCTACGCGAATGAGATGAGTATTCAGAGAACAGTTCTGCAAGACTTGGTGGGAAGTTCCCAGAGCATCATTCTCCAAGATGAACCAGAAGCAGCAATCGAATCTGGAATGGCACGCATTCGATACATGGCAACAACTTGGGAGAATATCCTGGCGCGATCAGTTTGGTCTCAAGCCATCGGGTCTCTTGTGGACACGCTCGCCAATCGCATAATCACAGACGTGCTGGACGTGCCGTCTATAGGGCAGGACGAAGCGTATAACATTGCTAATCTCATTGCTACGACAACATCGCTCGACGACTTGTTTCTCCCCAGCAAACTGAAGGGCACGGAACCAACTCGAAACGAAGCGGCCACGACGGATCAATATGCGCCTAATTGGCCGCGCTTGAAGTATCTTGGTGAAGTGTTGCAGAGCGACCTCAACGGCATAAGGGCTCTATGGTGCGAGCAAAAGCTGAGCTACTATTTTACGGTGGATGAGATTGTGGACTTGATCAAGGCCAGTTTCGAAGAGAACCCTCGAACCAGACAAACCATCAAGGAGATCCAAAACACACAATACCCCGCTGTTGATTTATGAGGCATGAAAATTTCACAGTAGATTAATCCATAGAGTTGCAGATGCCCCGAACTTTTGTTGCAGCCATCTACTCATTTTCAAACATTGTCTTGTCCAACGGGAGAGGTCTTTCCACATTCCACGCTCATTGCATGAATGTATCCCATGTGCTACAGTTAAGCACAGCGTTGGCCAAAAAACCAAACCAACAACCACCGAAATATCACTTGCACAACACATCCAACCTACCAGACTGTCAATCCCCGCGTTTTTCGCGTTTTTCGCGTTTCAGAACTCCAGCCGCATGCATCGCTCTACATGTACACCCTCAACGCTCCTCATACCCAATCCTCCCCAAATCCCCAAGCCATGGTCAGCCGTCGACGCTTTGAAACCCATGCCGATTCCCTGATTCGGCTCTGTTCTGAGAAGGGCACAAAAAACGGCATCCCGACGGACCCACGCCGGGCTGTCAACAAAAAAAAAAAAAAGAGCCTGACAAAGCGTTCCCAAGACTCGAGTACGGACACGCCGACCAGCGGACAGGGGACTGCAGGGGTGGAACTACAAGCAGACTCCTCTTTGGTCTTTGGAAACCCTCTTCTTTGAGCCAGAGGCACGGCCTGTATTGGGCTTCGTTACACAGGGTTGATATATGACTCGTGGGCTGGGGGAGGATGCGGACGGTCAACGGAATAGGGGTGGCCGAGAGATAGATGGTACATGTTGACCGATCGAGGAGCGGGGAGGGGGGCCAAGAAAAATATGAAAATTGACGGATGGACTTTGGGGAAAGATGCATTGGGCACTTGCAGGGCGTGGGAGGGAGAAACGCAAAGTGCAGAGCTGTTTTTTTTTTTTTTTTTCTGCTGCTGTGAGACTTGGTGACTTGATGGGTCTTGTGTGGTGTTACCCAGCACGGGACAGCGCGGGTTTCTGTTTCTTTTCTTTCTTTTTTTCTTCTTGGTTTCTGAGTTTTGAAGGGGGGGGGGGGCAAAAAAAGCCATGTATGTCAGAAATGGCTTTGGAGGGGAGTAGAATCTGGTATTGCGCTTCTTTTTTCATTTGGTATGTCTTGTGTGTGCGCCATGTGTCGGTCTTCATCTGGTTCGGATACGCCGTTGGGGCAGCATTGGGTCGTGCACGCAATCGACGGGAGTTATAGATGGATGAGCCATGCCGGTTTGG